GTATGTGTGCGTGTAGGTGTGAATGAGTGTGTGTGTGAGTGAGTGTGTGTGTGTGTGTGTGTGTGTGTGTGTGTGTGTGTATGTGTGTGTGTGTGTGTTTGTTTGTGTGTGTATGTCTGTGTGTTAGTTTTACTGCCACTTGTATTTCAATAAAAGAAATTCCCCATTCTTTACAAGCAACGAAACATTGTTTTCTTTCTGCTGTACATCTTTTTCCAAGTTTCTTTTCCCCTTTTTATTTTTACAATGTCGCGTTTTTCCAAGAAATATTTCCTGTGTTTGTTTTGTTCTGGATGTGAGTTCTCTTTTCGAAGGATTAATTTAGGGCGGGGGGGGGTTGCTGCCCGCTGCTCTCATTGCGGCTAAGAAGTTTTCGAGCTCTTCCATCCGTTTGCTCCATTTGATGCCTGTTTAAAGCTATTACGGATTTTTGTCATTGCTTTTCCCTTTCCCCGTTCTTTTATTCCATTCTCTTTTTCTCAGATTTGTTTTACTTGATGCTGTGACAGGGATAGCGAGATTCCTGGCTTCAGAGACATTCTCCGTCGTTTTCTATTCACGGTCTTCTTAATTTGTAAAAAGGTTTTATTTCAAAGGAATTATCCTCTAGCTTTAGCCTGTGTTGTCTTAATTAAGTAATTTGGATATTTGAGGCGTTCCCACTCGTGCACGTTGAGCAGACATGCTGTTTCATCTACGATTGCACACGAGCGAAACATTTTTTTTCTTCGTATTTCTGAAGAGCATCGTCGAGAGCCGTGATGATGAAGATGCTCTGGAATCCAAATTGTGATTAAAGAAGAGCTCTTCATCGGCCGGCACTGGAGAAAGATAGAAAGGGGCGTCTTCTGGAGACTTCAGAGAGGAGATGGCCAAAAATATTTCTCGAGTGATCGTGAGCAGCTGAGAGAAGGAGGGAGCTGGAAGAAGCTGATGAGTTGAGCGTTCTTGGAGAAGCTGCCCCGGCCATTCTTGGTGTTTCATCTTCTTGACTTGATTTTGCGTTTGTCGTTGATGCTGATCCCGTTGTTGCTGTTGTTGCAGCTGCTATAATCCTTTTGGGGTTGCCTTCGTCGATACAGTTGTTTCTGCCGCTGTTATTTCTCTACCTTTTTTTTAACTTGTGTTGTTGTTGTTGATTTAGCTGTTGCTAATGTCACAGCGCTGTTGTTCTTGATCGCCCTTCTGCTGCCCTTCTGGTCATGCTACCTCAAAGAACAGAGACGGCATGGACGGCTGAAACATGCGTTATGAGACATCCCCACAAAAGCCTGTGGCTGATACATTCAGCGAGCTTTCTCAAAAAACGGGAAAAACCCTCTCAACAAATCGAAAGAAAAGAAAAGAAAAAATAAAAAACAAAAACGACAAGCTATCTATACATAACCCGTGTGGGAAAATTATTGTTTCACCAATTTATTTTTCCTTCAAGAAAAAAAATACATTTTTGTGTGTTTTGAAAAATAGCAGCTGTCTTGGGACTGCTATCGTGATGTATCGTTCTATAAGCAGGTGGCGATGACATCATCACTGACGATCCACGAGACGCTGAGAATGAGCACACCACTCTCATTTCCAAATGTCATAATTCTTGGAGTGAGAGCTTCGTTGTCATTTTGCATAATTTCCAGATCTAAAGGAGAGGGCTGCAGCCTGCTATGCTTATGAATGTGATGAGTGAACACTCTCGTCTTGAAAATAATGGCTCCACTACACAATTACCTAGCATGCATACTACGTAAGTGTAGCTATTTGGGATAATGGCATGGTTAAATTCAAAGGGTATTTTTTCATTTGTATTTTATTCAAGGTAGGGCTAGGGGGATGAGAGGAAAGAGAGTTAGTAGTTTGTTCCTGAATGTAACTTATATCTCTGATTATTTTTTAAAAAACCGAGACAGTTGGATTGATTGCCTTGAAACCTCTTCAAAACTAAGCGAGTTCCAAAACACGTTCTTGGAGATTCGGACTACAGTCGTCAGCTTTATAGTTCAGTAGAACCCCCGCCCCC